GGACAGAGAATGGGCAGCGGGTTCTCGCGAAATAGAAAAATAGTCCTGTTCAGCTGTTCAGCCATTCGATTTGCAATCATGAATGAACCGGAACACACACGGTTTGGGCTTCTTCTCTGCGCCTTTATGGTGGCGAAGGAAGACCTCCATGGCCAGTACGTCTCGGCCCCTACGATTCGGGTCCCTGACGACCCAGAGGACGATGTCTTCATAGCATAATGCTTTATGCAGCCGAATCGCCTCTTGATCCTCGTCCTGCTTAGCATTGCCAGCTAGCTGGTCAGGCCTTGGTTCTGTCTGAAGCATGTCGATGTCTTCATCACCATCATCGCTGTACTCCGTGTCGCTCGTATCGTCCTGGTGGGTGTGGATTTCCCCGTCGTCGCTTTCGTCCCCGCTGTCAAGAGTAAAATCATCGGAATCAGAGTCAGACTCGGACGCAGGGCCTGATCTGCGGATTGAATTTCGCGGCCGGCTCATTCTGCCGGTGGCGGAGGCCAATTTGCGTTGTTGCCGCCTGCCACCTCGCACTGCGCAATTCTCCGCAGCCTTGCTGCTCGGCGCATCATCCACACCCGAGTCATCCAGCAACGGGTCTCCAGTCCCTCTTCGTTTCGTCCCATCGACAAGCTCCGCAGGCCGGCATGCCGTGTATGCCTGGAAAAGCATAATGGCTGCAACATCCAGGCGGTCATCCTCAGTAGGGAACACCCTCCGGTCGCGCGACCAATGATGCGTGAGGCCGAGTAGCAGATCGTCCACGCTCAGGACGGGCTTAGATCCAGGTTCGTCGTCTAGATTGAACTTTGTTTTGAGTTTGTCATTAATATACTAGCGACTATTAGTATGATGCGGAGTGAAAGGTCAGGCTCGAGGTCACGTACCTTTCTAATTTCCTCGCAATGGTTTGGGTTGACAATCTTGCCGTCGTTACAGCGGCGGTAGAGCATTTTGAAATCGCGCCAGTACTGATTGACGCTCTTCTTCTTCGACCTCTTGCGTCTTGGTTGCAGGTATGTTTCGCATATCCAGTGAAGGAAGGTCATGATGAAGCCTTTGTCGCAGTGCTGCGGTTGCAGCGCCTTGCGCCAGTCGCCGTGTTCGTTCGCATGGCAAAATCTACACAATCAGCATAGATGCTTTTGGCAGATACAGCACGATGACTAACGACTCACCTAATGAATCTTTTTTTGATGTAGTAAATATTCGACTTGGTCGTGGCTGCATCGAGCGGCTGGATGAAGTGGGTGCTGTTCAGTTGCCTCTGCAGGGTATGGTAGTCCTCGGCCACGAGCGCATTCTTCTGTGCTTCCTTGCGCAGCGTAGTGTCTCGGTGACGCCGCTTCGCGGCCCTCTGAAGGGCCTCTGCAATGTCGCGGTGGATTGACATGGCTGAAGAGCACAAAGAAAGGAAGCTCTTGGAGAGCGAAGGGCCGGCGTCTTCTTTTATGTGAGAGATCCAGGCAGGGCCAGGCAGGCAGGGTGTGGACTTAAAGAAGGATGAAGGGTGTGGATACACCACCACCAAAAATGGCAGCTGCCCCACCGGTTACTCCCACCAAAGGCGGCGACATTTACCACCCGATTCGGTGGCCAAAACCGGCGCACTTGGCTTTATTCT